AAGTGTGGTGATTCTTAAATGCTATACATAGAAATCAGTGCTGGTAATAGATAGCTAGAGAGTGCTGTTCACATCAACCAGTGATTACTGTAAACCTCTAATTATGTGCTCTGGAGAGAGCCTCGTGCCTTTCCCACTGTAATTTCTAGTTCTTAAACTAGAACTCTATGACTTCAATTCAGATCTCAATGGCTTCTTAGCTGTTAAATGTAGGCTTGCCCATGAATAACCACTAATACAATCTGCTGTACCCTGCTGTACACTAGCAGATTTTGACAAGAATAATGACTTTTCTCTTTGATTCCAATGTGTAATGATGGTTTACAAAAAATATTCATAGCAGTTGGCTATGAAAATACTTGAGGGGATACCCTTGACTGAGTCAAAGAGCTTATCACAAATTTAAACAATATTAAAGCCCCAGAAGACAGTCATTGACCTCATCCTAGTTGTAACACAATTCACACTTTAGCTAAACACCTGGGCAGTGGTTTTGCGTTGAGTTTGAGAACAAAACAGAAGGAAAGGGTAACCCTGGAAAGGGAGGAGGGTGTTGTTAAGTCCTGCGAAGTTCACAGACTAAAGAGCCTCTTCAATCATATTTAACTCAATAACTTAGGGCTTTTGCTTGAAGTAGCTAAGCTACCCTGGGAGGACATCCACTTTTTGCAATACTCAAGCCACACACTCTGATCCATAAAATCATGCCTGGGCTTTGTACGGTCCCTCCTTCCCCAAGTTAGTGTAAGATCTGAAAATTCCATTCGTGGCTCAGCCCACTTGGCCTCCCACGTCACTTGTAATAGACTAAGCAGGCAATGAAAGAAGCTACGTTTTACTGAGTGAACAGCTGTGCCAACAATATCAGTCGAGGTATGGGAATTAAAGTGCACCTCTCTCTCCCATTTCTCAGAATAGAAGCAGGGACACGTAACCCGATACAATTCATGTTTTATATTGTATGAGTTCTACAGGAAGTATTTGGATGAAGGCAATATTTCTCACCAAACAAGGGGCTCATATTCCAATCTTTTACTAAATAAAGGACTAAAGAGCAAACCATCAGAAAGATGGACATTCTGGTGACTATCTCCTTTGTCACTAACACACTTACTGTGGCTGTATATCCCGGGCCCCAAAACAGCATGAACGCCTTCCCTCATGATTAATTTTCTTTCTATTGCACATGTTTGCAAAATGGCATAGGGATCTCATGAATAAGCAAGATTAGCAGCTCTGTTCTCATAAAAGCTTGTCATTTTTGTGCCAAGCTCACAACTATTCTCTAATAAATGTTTAACTTCCTCCCTGCATTTTTTGGGGGGAAGAGGAAGGTTCTGGGCTTGGAGGATAGTCTTGTACCCTTAAAAGAAGGACATGACCTGTTAGCCTACAGTTCAGTGTGCAACTGCTTTTAGGAAGCAGGGCAATTCCTTTAAAGTCACATTTACAACTAAAGGAATGCAATTATTCTTCAAATGTAAGGATGATGCTACTGTTTTAAATTATCAGGGATGGGTTGGTTCTGAGCCATTCACATGTCTTTCTCCTTTATTTTATCTTATGCCAAGTATTTATTGAGCAATTTCTATCATATAAGAAAGTACTGGGGCATGTGTATTTAAACATAAGTAAGACATTAACTCTCATACATGGGTTTCTATTATAAACTCTTTGGAAAATATTTTAAAAATCAGTCTGCCTACCAAATACAGTTTTAATCTTATCTCCAACCAACCAAAATTATTGGCATCGAATTAATGGCCACGGCTCTTATTTGTACTTACTTTAGTATGATCAATAGCAGAAAGAACAACTCTTAGGTCTAGGCTCCCTCCACTTCAATAACAGAAAAAAATATGGCTCACTAGACATTTTTAAATATACCAAGGAGTATCCCAGGCAAATCAATAGATGTGACCTTCATCGTTCATGAGTCAGAAAGTGTCACATACTACCCTCTTGTCGTGGTAGTATTACTTACTCACACGACATAACGGAATACAATACAACTCATGTGGAAAATGAGTAAATTAAGTTATTCTTTGAAATTCTATGTTTCTAGTTTTAACTGAGCTATATAAATTTTCGTATTTTACCAGCCTAAATAAAAAATATCCTTTAAATAAAATCAAACCTAATATAGCTATTCATTCAATCTTTAAAAGGTTACTTCATATCAAAGCAATGTAGTGTATAAATATAGAACTTAATTAAAATACTATATATAAAATATTAACAGCTGCAGTTATTAAAATTACATTAAACTCCCTTGAGCTTGGCTGATGTAATATGAGCTCTCTCTTTTTTTCAATTTAGTAAAAGGCAGAATTTGGTTTAACGTATAAGTTACGGCTTTTATATTGTTTGTTCAAATTTACTAACCTGAAACTGTAATCACATAAAATTACTCTGCCATGAAAACACCACCAAGCACAGTAACTTAATTTTTCCATTGGGTTCCAACAAAAATATCATATTTAATTTTTTTCTTTCATAATATTTTTAAGGCATCTATTTTTTCTTCCCACCAAGCATTGAACTTTGTAAATCAAAGTAGATATTTTTTGCTTTGACCTTTTCTAATGAGGATATAATGAGGACAGCTAATAAACTACTGGTAATTTGAATGTTAAAGAACTTAGACAGAAAAAGTAGATATTATTCTGCTTGCAGATTAAGGTAATTATCTGATCTTAATTGTAATAGGTCATCCAAACAACTTGGGGACACTAATTAGATTGTACTGTCACCTAAAACCAGAAAGTCAGATGGTTATTAGACTTGGTATGGTGATCACTTTGCAAGGTACATAAACTTAAATCACCATGTTGCACACCTGAAACTAATATAATATTGTATATCAATTATAATGTAAAAATGAAATAAATATCCAGGTATAAATCATCACTATCAAATACATAATGGGTTATTTTATATTTTTTTACATTCTTTTATACTTCTTAAAATTTTGACATTCACCATGTATTTCTTCATATAATTAGAAAATACCTTATTTCTAAGTGACTGAAATACAACTGACCTAAAGTGTGGAATTTTTTACCTTTCTAAGCTTCTAAAAGATGTCCACTTAATCTGATCAGTTATGATTTATTTAGATTGTAATAAAGTCTGACTAAAACATACATACTCTCAAAAATCAATTCAAATTTTATTCTAGGTGCACTTTAAGTGAAACTCTAATATGCACAAGTTAGTATTACAAAGCCCATGTTCCCATTCTCTTTTTGTGTCATCTGTTTACAAAGCTCCTATGTAGCAAATGAACTTCTAACTCTGGTTGAAACAGACTGAGGGGAGCCAAAGGGTGGCCCACTACTGCTGCTTCTGCATTCCCATCAGTGCACTCTTCTCAGTTAAAATCAGACAAACAAAGAGGAATCCAGTCCCTAATGGGGTCAGCATAGTATAGCGGACTATATATATATATATATATACACACACACACACACACACACATATTGCTGGATACTATCAATCATCTAAGACACTGGAGAAGAAATGGTAACATAGCACAAATTACATCGATGCTAACTAACCATTCCCATGAACTTCGTAGGGAAGTGGAAGAATGCCAATGTATCCAGAGAGTGAGGAAACAGAAATACACTGTCTGAGATACTTGGGGATCAAGACAATGGGGTTCTGACCTCCTTTCAATGCTCTTCCTTCACCCCAAGCTCTCTCCTAATTTTCATACATTTGATTTCTTTATTGGGGAAAAAAGATATTGCTAAGAAGGTAAACACAATCTTCTTGCATGATAAACAGGAAAACAAGGCATAAATAATCGTGAAATTGGAAACTGTTCTGTTGCAGAGAAGTAAATAAGAGACAAGGGAGCCTATGAAAGGGGTGTGAGAAGTAAGGGCCAGCCCCAGGACTTCAGCATGGGCCTCATCAGACAGGGTCCTAATTACACATTACTGGATCTGAAAGATGCACCAAGAGTCATCAGGTCAGTGGTCCCCAAATTTGACTGACCATCAAGTTCCCTGGGAAGTTTTACAAAAATAGGGAATCCTAGGCTCCATTGCCATCAATCCTACTTCACTGGGTTGGAATCCAGTGAAACTGGGTCCTTCTCAGTGCATTTTACACAGTAAGAAATTCAGATCACATTCAGTTTGTCTTTTGTTATAAGAACATAATTTGATTTGAGAGACCTAATCAGAGTATGGGAGCAGAAACTGAAGTTTTTAAAAAAGTAATATATAGTCATACATACAAAAGCAAACTGCTTCTTCCTTCTGTCCCCTTTCTCATCTTTCACAAATGCAGTGATTTTTTCCCCCTCAGTCCTAGTGATGCTCATGTTCCTATGCCCCTCAGTCTACTCCAAAATTTCAGAGTAAAGGAATGTCAGTCCTTTAGGCCTTGCCTCCAAGTCCCTCCTTTCCCTGCCACATACACACACCTTCAGAGAAAAGGTACAGGGAGAAGAAACCAGAGGAGTAAATCCCTGTCGGTGGAATCCACACAGCTTCCACTAGGAAAGAAAGCTATTAGGAAGGCAGCGGTTTTGCTAGGGTCCTTGAAACCCAGCTATATTGACTGAAGTATTCTGGATACCCAAGCCACAACTTAGATAAAAAGTGTGCTATGTTAAACTAAGAATTTTTTGTGTTTAGACCATTTTATATATTTCATATTTTACATTTGTAATGGTTGGTACCTCCAAACATCCAATAATATAATAGATTCTGGCAATGCCAGAACACTAGATTTTGTCATTGTAAATTTAAGATAAAATTGCTTGCACAATTTGGCACTCAATTATCCAATAAATATTCATTTACGAAGCCGTTTGAGCATTTGGAGTTTGATGCCCAACTATGATGATTAATTAACAGATAATTTCCCTTACCCAGAGACAGAAATATAAAAAGTCTTAAATATGCCTCGGTTTTAATGCCTTAGGAATAGAGAAGGGTGGAGTGGGGTGTTCCATCAAAGAGCATAGGAAGCAGATTAATTACCTGACCGGCCATCTCTTTGGAAGTCTACGTGATACCATTCTCCATCATTCACCTTCTTCTGCAGAGCTCTGATTTTTATTGTACCTGACCCCATGTCTAGGAGGAGGTAGAGGTGGCCATCCAGCATCTCAATAGCGAAGAAGTCGACCTTTATCATCTGTGGGTGCTTGGCATCTTTTTGGTGTCGTGGCTTGCCATGGCTAAATAAGATGAGTCCATTTGGCTCTGTGGTGCGGAAATCAAAGGATATGGAGCCTGTTTTCTTTGCATTCCATTTAGGCAAAGAGATGAAAGACTCTGGGGTTTCAAAGGTGATGGGGTCCAAAGTTGCAACATTCTCACATTTAAATGCCACTACTCCATGGATCTTCATCTTAGGGTCTCCTTGCTTGGCGAGTCGAGATAATTCCAGCCTTACATCATTATTTTTGTATACAACCTGTAGGCAGAGGAGAGCAGTGATAAACCAGGCTCATATTTTTATATTTAGAATCCATCATTGGCTCATGTAATGGCAAGTAGATCATGAAAAGGAACACAATATTTAGTGCCTTTTGATGTATTAAGAGTTTTTTTTTCAGTCAAATAACATTCAAGTATCAATTCATTGAGCAGTAACCATTCCATTCTAATGCCATTCAAATAATTCGTGCATACACACACAAATTGCCTGTAGTGAACTCAAATAATATGAATAAATCTGCAGAGAGATTGTATTTCAAGCATGTGCAGACTTGAATTTATAAAAGCCATTTGCTTTCATTAGTTGGCTATTATACTTTGCTTATTAAACACAAGTATTGAGGTTTTTCAGCTTTCTCATCACCAAAGTATTTGAAATCAGAAACTTTTGTGTAACAGTCCCCCAAAATATAAGATCTCTTCTACGGGATCTATATCCATGGTAATATACAGCGTGGGGCAAAAGGAGGGGGTTACAACTGTGAGTACATAAAAGGAAGTTTATTCTTACATTATCATTTATTAATTCTTGTATTATTTTCCATGCAAACAACTGTAAACCTACTCTTGCCCCATCCTTTATATATTATTTATAAGACAGCCACAAGTTGAGGTAGAAAAACATCCTAAATTTTCTCAGACAAATCATAAAATACAATTAAGATGCAGAAGCTCTCTCTTCCCTATCCTACATTAATAGCTGCTTGAATAATGTCATGTAACTCTGGAGCACGGGTGTTTATTCTAAATCCACTCAAGCTGTATTACTAGTGTTCCCTTTCACTTTGAATATGAACAGATGTGAAACAAAGCTTGTCCTATACTCTCATTTTCCGAAGCACTTCATCTGAAGTGTGGGTGGCTCTGACCGCCGGTCTGAGGGCTCTTTTGTACCCAAACGGAACACTGGGTAAGTCCCCTGGCAGGGCTCAGAGTGTCATGCATCTGCTGCCACAACCCTCTATTGAATTTGCAGCTATTTTGACATCAGGATAAAGAGAGATTCATACCCTTTCTCTACATAATGCATTTATGGATAATTACATTTCCAAAAAAATGTAGGTTATATTGACATAAGGATAAATTGGTTAACTATGTCCAGATAATTATCTAAATTCTTTTAAGAGAGCACTCAAAATTTCACAGTGAGTAACACTTCAGGTTCTAAACTCGTTTATCAATGTGTAAAAGTACATTTATATAACAGAAAAAGTAAGAAAGCCTAAGTCTGATTAGTGCTATAAAGTTAACCAGGTCAACACAGTAGTTAATTCTTCCAAACTCAAGGCCAATTGAGCCAAGAGGTAGTGCTATTCATGAGTTTCCCGATATGATTTGTTAATGGATACTTTAATTTTCAGAGTGATTAAAAGTGCATGCTCTGCTAGTGGACTCCCTATGTTCAAACTCCAGAACCAACATCACCCAGGTGAACGGTCGCTAAGTCTTCTTTTTCTCCTTTCTAGGGAGATCATACCTTATAGGATGATTATAATGACTAAAGAAGAAAATGCATGTAAATGTCAAAATCTACATAAAGACTATCAATCCAGTGTCAGGTACATGGTAAAATTATCAGCTTCTTCAAACTACATAATAATAAATACCATCAATCCATTATTAAGTTCACATAGAGATACTAGTTCTAAATTAATCCATTATAAGGAAACATTTAGAAATTAAGCACACTCATGCAATTAGCATTTTATACTTGATTCCTGCCAACTAAATAAGTCACACATTTCAAAAGTTAGTCCTGGTGTTTCAGTTTACCTTTATCTTGAGGAAGGATTACAATAAAGAATAGCATATCCCTTATTCTTTGAACAAATATGAAAAGTGTTTTAACAAGCATCTATTGACAACAAAAGAAGAGCAAATGAATTTAAGCAATAACAAAAAGGAATTAGATTAAATCTTAAGTATACTTCCTTGAGAAAAATGAAAGCACTATAAAGCGTTGGGAAAGTCAACTTAGAATTGCCTTTCTTTCAGCTTCTTTAGAAGTGGACAAAATGCTTTCCACACATCATTTCCATCTTTTATAACCTGTCAGCATAATGTTCAATCTACCCCAAATTCGTTTTTATTTTCACTTGTTATTTATAGTTTAATATTCAGAAATTCTTATGATCAGATACTAGTTAGGAACAAGTATTTCCCATCCAAATGATGAGATGATGATGTCAGTCTGTGCTAACACATTGCCTGTGCAATAGAAACACAGCGAAGGAATTGGGTATTTCTGACACAAGCAAGTGGGTTTAAGGGTGGGTATATTGCCACATGAGTCCCACACCAGCTACCAGAAAGCTGAAAGGTGTGGAGTAGGACAAGTCTAGGTGGTGATTTCAGTGAGGGAGTAATGGTGCCATGAGAGAACCGGGTGCCCCAGTGCTAGGAAGGGTCAGGGAGATGGAGAAGAAAAACAGGGATTCCCTTGATCATATAATACAGAGGCCTTGCATTCTTCCTCCACCCACCCCCCAGAAGAAAATTAGTCTTCATATTCTATGCTTTGTGTAGGCAGGGACCCTGCTCAGTACAGTCCAGCACCAAGATCAATGCACCTGACACAGAATGGAACACAATAAATATTTGGTGAGAGTTGAATAAAATTCTTCCTTTAATTTTATCATGCTCCCATATCATAGACTATTATTAATAGCATTATTTACAAATATAGGTAAATACAACAGAATGTGGCACTGTGGATCAATATCATAACCCAGCTACTATTTTCAGCCTATTTCTCTAGGAAAATGTAGACACTCCAGTGGATGTTCAGTTATAAATGGAAAGCTGGCCTATGCATTAAAAAATTTCACCTTCAAACTCATTTTGCAGGGTGTAAATTACTTTTCCAGTGAAAACCACCTGAGTTAAAATCCTCCAGATGTCGAATCATTTTCCTAGAAGAACTATCTTGAGGAGAAACACAATGTATTTTTTTCCCTTTTCATTTTATATTATTTGAAAGGCATCTCTAGAAGACAGGAAAGCAATTTGGGATAGACAGAGTGATGGCTCTCAGTGATACACTATTACTTCATGTGACCCAGATTTCATAATCACCCTGGGTTTCTAAAGTGAAACCTATCTTATCATGTGACCCAGATTTCATAATCACCCTGGGTTTCTAAAGTGAAACCTATCTTAAAGGGACCTGAACATACTTCAATTATAATAATAAGGAATATCCAGTAACCATTCCAAATCTTCTACAAATTCTCATGCAGGCTCTTTTTTGCTTCTTTTTTACAATGTTTCTCAATCATTTACAACTATTCATATATGTTTTTTCCTATTTACATAAAAAGTTGTAATTTATTTAATAGTTTCAACCTTCAACAAATTTCTATAATACTGTCACATCTTAACACTTGTGATGATATTATTGAATACTGATTTGGATCTGTTATAGAATCCAGGTATTCCTTGGAATATTGATTTTTTTGAAGAGTAACTCAATATGTTAAAATTTCATGAGCTTTTATCATAATTCCCAAAGGAATAGAAATACACATAAAAGAGGACTGAGATTTTTCGGCCACTTATTTGCTATTTGCTCTTTTTTTGGGGGGTGCAGGGGGTAGTTTTGGTTTAGCTGCCATCTAATTTCCACACACTGCTACATGAACTTCCCCCGCTTCCCCAACATCAGTTAGAATTTTAGAATGTCCCTCACACTTAACTCTGGAAGAATAGGAGTAATGCATTTGTGTTTTAGGCTTGAAATATGAAATAGACACTCACTAAGTATTTTATTTTCTTTTATTCTTTTTGCATCCATGAGTCTGTTTCTGTTTTATTTGTTCATTTATATTCTTTTTTTAAATTTTTTAATTGATTATGCTGTTACAGTTGTTCTATTCCCCCCTTCATTCCCCTCCACCCTATCCCCCCATCCCCACCATTACCCCCCTTTAGTTTATGACCATGTGTCTCAAGTCCTTTCGATTCTATATTTCCCATGCTATTCTTGCCCCCCTTCTATTTTCTATCTACTGTCTATGCTACTTATTTTCTGTACCTTCTCCCCCCTTCTCCTCCTCCCACTCCCCTGTTGCTAACCCTCCTTGACCTTAAAAGCCCTGACATATATACAGGCTAAAGAATGGAAGTTTGAGAGTCTGGATAAAGCCTTAGTTTAATCACAAAGTGATTACCTACATCAAATTGCCTAACCTCACTATGTCTCAGTTTCTTAATTGCTAAAACAGACATCGAAAAAGGAAAGGCAGCCCACGTCCATTAATCCTAAAGCTCCCCCCCCACCCCTCAGTCTATATAATTTAGGGCAGAGGTAAAAGATGCCTCTCGTTCCCTTTCTTTTTCTGTACTTTTTCCAGTTGAGGTTTTTAAGTCAGGGCATTGTTCTCTGTTCTGAGACATATCAAAACACTAATCCATTAGTAAAAAGAATGTTCACTACACCTTTAGGCTCACAGACATGCCTCAAGGATTGTATCTACCTGAGGTTTGTACAGATGGTGTTGGACTGGAAGCTGATAGATAAGGCTCTTCCCATAGGAAGCAAAAGTGTATGAAATCAGTAGTTCAGTAGGAAAACACCTGCCACTCAGGTGGCTTTTTTGGTTGTTATAAACATGTTTCCGTTTAGAAATTTCAGTGAGGACCTTGACTTAATTAAACTAATTAGCATGCACTGATCAAGGCTTTTCATACCTTAACTGAGAATATGCAGAGTGGTGAACTGAGCAGTGTTAACTGAGTCAAAGATCTACGTAGAGATCTAGACTTTGTTATGACTGTCCCTGAGAGAACATGGATGACTCATTTGGAGCCGATTCTTGGTTTTCTCTTCCATTCTTAGGAACAGTAACAAGTGAGGACTAGGAATCTCGTTCTCAAGTGAAATCTCAGAGAGGATTTCAGCTCACCCACTTTCAACCCTATAACTTTGTGCAAATCCTTCAAGCTTGCAGATGCCCCATTTTATCTGTAAAAGAAATA